ATATATATATATATATATATATATATATATATATATATATATATATATATATATATATATATAAAATATAAAATCTGTGTTTTTATAATACAAATTTGTCAGTCAGAGCAGTACATTTGCAGTCCCATTTCCACACCTCAGTCTGGTCATTACATCATTGTTATGAGGCAGCCCATTCATTCAGCCACAGGAAGAAATAGATGAAAAAATAGGTCATTGGCAATAAGCTGCAGGCAATATGTTTATGTAGGTTCTCCATTCCCTCTGTGTTCCCATTCTGTTTTATTGCCTCAGGTTGAAAGCACGGTGGAAAACAGCCACCGCGATTTGTGAACCTCAAGGTTCCAGTCAGTAAATGGTCATTGCTAAACAGCTATTTCCCTTCTTTTTAATTTGGTCTGTGGAATGAATGTTGAAGTAATAATTGGCCTGGTGTCTGTGATGTTAAACCATTGCACTGGTCAGTCCAAGTTGATCAAAACATTTAAATCAACATGTCCTCAGATGTAACTTTAACTAGTGGTAATAAAAAAATCTGAAACGCAAATGAAATGAACAGAATCATAATTTTTCTTTCAAATACAGAAATGATTTATCCAAAACAAGCATATTCAATTAATATACTTTGTATTAAAAATATTCAGATGAATATAGCAGAGAACCATTTATTTTTAAGCATAATACTGATTAATGTAACAAAACTACAAAATTAATAATCATTAGCTTTATTATGGAATGAACATCAGAAGAGCGTAGAAAAAAGAATCAAAATCAAAAAATTACATCAATCCATGCAACTTACAACTGCATATCCAGGACAGTCATGGAGCCTGGAGCTTATCCTACACAGCACTGGAAGTAAGGCAGAACACCCTGGTCTGGAGATCAGTCCATCTCAGGGCTCACACATTCACGCACTGTTTGGACCTCCTGAATGCTGAGGCCAGCTACCTTTTCTGTGACATAGAGAACACAAGTCAAGGTTGACCTTCAGTGGTGCACTGGCAACAAGAAGCAGCCATTGATCTGGGGCGGGGTGTTGAGTTCCCTTGGAATATTTTTCCACCAATGTTTGCAGATCGATTGTAGGAGCTAATTATTGGATATTGCAATATTTCATTGATGGCCAATTGGTTGATCGTGATATACCCCCATTGCGATCAACTGGTTGGCCACCAATGAAATACTGTATAGCATTATCCATTAATCATCTTCTGAAATCATCTTGGAAACTCACCGAGATCAACCACTGGGTTGGGCACACCTGATACATAGGATACATAATGGTGGGTTGGGTAAGAAAGACTGGCCCTCACAAGATCGGCCCTCTGGGAAAATTCCCAAACTTCCCGATAGCCCGTCCATGCCTGTTGACCCTTCTTGAAATATCAGAATATTTTGTGACTTTCAGACAGGTTATAAACATTGTAGAGCCACCAATTCACATTAATGACACATCTTAATGGGATTTAACCCACATGAAACCATGTGTGGTCCAGTATTCAGCCCTGCAGAGATAAAAGTGCTATGGCACAGAACCACTGGGACCTTGTATAAGATGCTGCTGGAAAGGGTGCTGGTAGATCAAGAGAAAAGATTCATCCCTGTGGAGCAATTAAAATACCCGTGGTCACATGTGGGGAGGGGGCACTGTGCTGCAGAGGGTCCCACACTTTAGATGACATATTACACCAAGGTGCCATGACCCTTAAAGATCCCATATCACTTATTGAAAGAATAAGGATTTTTAATCTCAGGCCAAATTCCCTTTAAGGCCCTATGCAACCACCGACCTGATGTAACACTAATCTATACAATTAGTATCCAGCACGATGAGATGTGCATACTGATTCAAAATAGCTACTGCACATTGCCCAGGTTGGGGCTACATATTAATGGTTCTTCTGTTGAACAACAGGAGGTCCATTAATATTCAAAAGTAGCTGTTATTCTACCTTAGCATATAAATGGTCGGGCTGAGGACATTAACGATTATCGGTTAAATATAAGTGGGTTGGATTAAATTTAGATTTTAGCCTACTGCCTAACTATCTTAGTGTTACATAGCATAGTTAGCTAGCTTGGTGGTTGAATTAAAGTAATTTAAATAGAGCAGCTTCATTCTTAGCAGGCTAGCTACATTTCTACTGCCTTAAACTAGCTATAAAAAGCTATCCCATGAGTTTTAGTAACTCTGTTGGAGCCTGCACATGGAAAGATTTGGACTATCGTTATAAACCTCATCATATCACCAAGGCACCGAGGTCCCCTTGCAAGAATTCTGGTGGTTCTACGCCTTCCCTTAATTGGCACCGAAAGACAATGCTTTATCCCATCTTACCTCCAACAACTGGAAGTAACAACATGCACATACAGTATGAGTAAGCATACTAACGGTCTTGCTTCCCACCTGAACGGATGTCAAATCTAGAAGCTTTTGCTTTTGACACTAATGTAGCCAGTCTACTGCGGCAGCCTGTGGCAAAGCTCAAATGCTGTTCTCCCACAATGAAGGCTGAGGCCCTAACAGCATCACCTACAGGCCACGCTCCCTTAGTCAGACTTCTAGAAATGCTACAGTGTGTATTTCATGCTAGCCACCATAACATAAACAATTTATGTTATATATTTTTATATAAATGTATTTATTTTCACAGGTGCCATACCCATTAGCTATTGCCAAATTGTAATTAATTTACTAAAGCTGTTTGTTTTCCACATAGAATGGATTCATATGAGTGGTAGGACTTTAAAAAAAAATTCCCAGTAACTTTAGGGAAATTTGGAAACACATTGAACAAAAAGTTCATTTGCCCAAGATGAGGAGAGTTTAATATATTTAACTATTACATATCTATTACCTTAGGCCTCTGTTCTCAAAGAGATAACTTTGTTTATTGCGTTGTGGCAAATGTTGCAAAACTGAATATTAACAGGCATAATAAAGCGCACTGAATGAAAATGTCCATGTGTGAACAGCATTTTATTTTCCATTCCGTATTTCCAGGGAGTCTGGAGCCTATCTTAGGAAGCATGGGACTCCTTAATCCAACAACATTGTTATTATTATAATTACTATTATTGGTCTTGTTGTTAATGATTCAGTCTCGAAATTGTCACTCTACCACCCTAAAAACTCCTAAATCTTTGTTGAGCACGAGCGTGAGATTCGGATGATATATTTCAGAAAGCAGAAGCTGTGATGAAGCCAGTGCGTTTAGCGGCAGTTTCAGCGACGTGTCGCTTACCGTCCTTCTGCACAACGACGGACCGCATATCCATCCAGGGCACCGTGTGCTGAAAAGTCCTGCTCGGCTAATGGGACTCAACAGACATGTCTGCATAACTTATTATACCCGTGATACTCGATAGCGATAATAAATGTTCTTAATGTGTACTCTGGTATATAAAGTATCTCGGCTATTCAGCCAGTACAGGTACGCGGTATTGGTTTGTATACAGTGTATATGATACTCGCAAAGCATCCAAGTCGCCTAGCGTCCTATTGGATAGAACCAAAGTGACGTATATTTGTACTTGCATAGAATCATAGTGAATATACTGGATACTACGAAATGCTAAGGTAAAGTTTCATAGTTATTGGCGAAAGCGCGGTACATAAGACCGCTGAGGTCACAATCAAACTATCTACACATGAATCGTTGTCCATTAAAAACAAAACACAGTCATGAATGCGTACTGCCGCCCCCCCCCCCCCACTTAACACTGAAATCTCAATGTCATGACATATTAATCCAAAGAATAAACAATAATACTGTTTTAGTCAAAAAAATTGTACTGCTTAATTAAAGACGACTGCAATAAAGCATGTCATTTTTATAACACTCCTTGTTAGACCAGAGTTGATTTTATCCACATTTATAACTTTCTTAATACAGATGTGATTGTTATTGTATGATAATGTTTAAGTACCCCATCAGCTTTACCAAACGTCTGTAAATCCACTAAGTTTTTA